TGCTTAATAATTTTTCTAACAAGAAAAAAATAATAAAAAAGAAAAAAGAAAAGAACAGTGATTAAAGATCTAGACTAATAAAATAATCACAACCATTATTATTAAATTGGAATTCTTTGTGGATGGGATCTTTATTTTGAGGGCATTCTTGTATGTTGATGGGCAAATTAACAAGCTTACTTGATTTCAATGATTCAAATTATTTATTTTATTAGATTATTCAAAAAAATTATTAAAAAAATCAAATTAATTAAACAATTGTAACTTAAAAAAACAAATAGTAGCTATGATTTTAAAAAATAATCGTATGATTATATGATTTTTGCATCAATAATTTACTTAAAAAATCGTATGAGATAAATCATAAATTTTAAACCCAAACCCTAAATTTGATTAATCAAGTGAAATTCATAATAGACTCACCTAAACCCAGAACACCCTTATTTTTTTGTCCAAATGAAAGAGAATTCCATCGGGAAAATTAATAAATAAATAAAAAGTAGAGTAAAATGGTGATAAATATAATTCCGAGAGTATCTAAAGTATTAGCTCTAATTGATTATTTTTGTCGATAAAAGGTCTACCATTTGCAAAATAGATTAGTGAGAAGTCCTTTTGTTAGTTTTGAAAGATATTTTGTTTTTAATTTTATCCCCTTAATTTATCTATGGACTTTTTTTTATCTATTGACTTTTGTTTCCTATCTGTTTAAATTTTTTCCCTATCTATTGAAAATTTTTCTTATCTGTTCAAATTTTTTACCCTTATCTATCTAAATTTTATTATATATTCAATATTTTCACTTATCTATTCAAAACTATCTATTCAATTTTTTATCTGTTTAAATTCTTTTATCTATTTAATTTTTTTATTTGTTCAGATTTTAAACATATTTTATTATCTGTTCATTTAGGTTTACACAGAAAAAAAGTGTGGCTCATTTTCCACAACATTCAAGAAAAGAATCCCATATCCATCCACAGTATGAAACCATTTCACAAAATAATGATTCTTCCATGTATGACAAGGAACAAAGTGATAATTCATTTGAAATTACCAGGAACAAAATATCATCCACTCATGTATACAACATGCATACATATATATATATATATATATGTCCAAGCAAATCTTTCTTTTCTTTTTCTTCTTTTTTTCCACGATTTAAATGGATTGAATTGATTCCAATTTTTCAGGATCCGTAAATAACGGATTGGTTCTGGTTTCACTCCAATCCGGACCATGCCCACCCCTAAAAAAAAGTGTGGCTCATTTTCCACAACATTCAAGAAAAGAATCCCATATCCATCCACAGTATGAAACCATTTCACAAAATAATGATTCAACCATGTATGACCAGGAACAAAGTGATAATTCATTTGATATTACCAGGAACAAAATAACATCCACTCATGTATACAACATGCATACATATATATATATATATATATGTCCAAGCAAATCTTTCTTTTCTTTTTCTTCTTTTTTTTATTTTTTTATTTTTTGGGAGCTTCAAACAAATCCAGATTTTGACAACCAAATTACATTTATAGGGAACAACAATTTTGGGAAAATTAAAGCTAATTTTGATGACCTCAATTCTCAAATTAGCTTCAAATTTGAACGGAATAGATGAACATATGTAGTAATGTAGGTTCCAGATCAAGATTGGGAAAAAAATAAAAATAAATAAAAAATAAAAAAAACCATTAAATTGCATAACCAAGGGTTTAGATTACAGAGAGAGGAGGAGGCAATGTTGGAGGCGGAGAGGAGGCAGTGACAGTAGTGGTAGAGAGGAGGCAGTGATGACAAAGGCGGAGGTGGTGACGACATAACCAAGGGTTTAGATTGCAAAGAGAGGCGGTTTCATTGGAGAAATATAGGTTTGGTTGGTATATATATATATGGATAATTTAGTCATTTTACAAAAACTTGTCTTTATGGACAAAGTATTTTAGAGTATGAATGTTTGGCATAAAAAATTCAAAATTGAATTTATGGACTAAATGCCTTAAAAAGTAACCATGTACCGAAATTTTGAACTAAACAACCCAAGTTAAATGGGTCTTGGACCTGTTTGCTAGTTCTTTTAATTCGAATAAAAATAAATGGAAACAAGTCAAAGATCCCAAAGAGAGAATACTAATGACTGGTTCATCCCCATCTATGCTTATTTTCAACTTTAGAAAGCATTTCCAACCCCTAATTAAAGCGAAACCGGCACAAGAAGCCATGCTTATTTTCAACTCTAGAAAGCATTTCCAACCCCTAATTAAATAGAGGTCGGCACGAGAACAATCAATAAAAAATATTGAACTGAACCAACCACATAAAAATTTTTCAAATTCTAATTTAAGAATGAGTGATTGTCTTTCTCCGAATATTACTGCCCAACCTAAGTGGATGGTCAAAAGAACAACACAAAAAACAATTTTTGTACCCAATTGACAATGAAAGTGAGTGAAAATGATAGCAATCCTCTGATTCCTTCCCCTTTGAGATGGCACGAGCATGAACACGATCAACAATTCTCACCACTAGATGTACATGTAGCTGTCAGAAAGATAATTTGTGGTTCATCGAACATCAGATGCTGTTCCCCACTTTTTTACATGCATAGGGGAAATCAGTTTTGCTGTCTATTGGGGATATATTTAGGGAACCCCGGAGTGCTTGACACAGATGCAGATCTTTGCTATCTTTTCTTTCTTTCTTTCCTTGTACTTTTCTTTTTGGTTGGTAGATAGATTACCTTGTACTGCCGCAGGCAGGTTTTGTTTCCAAAGCTTGTACATTTGAAAAAGATAATGAAATGAAACGAAACGAACTTTTTATCTGAAAAAGTGTTTACATTTACACATTTCATGCATTGCATCGCATCTCATCATGTTACACCTCAATGTAAATGGAATTGATTGGTTGTCTGAAAATTAAACACTTGCACTGTAATAATCAGATAACTAAACAGCCAACAGCAAAATAACCCAAGCAACCCACTGCCTGATTCTTGAA